CCGGGCACACACGTCTACGCAGGACGTTCTCATGTGGAGATATACAACGACCTACTGGAGAACCCCCCGAAGGGCCAGGCACGCTACATCCTCGCGTTGGATTTGAAGGGGGCGTTTGACAACGTCACGCTCGCCAGAATACTTGAGGTCCTGACCGGTGTGCTCTGCGGCAAGAAAATGTACGACTACGTGAGAAGCTTTCTGACGGAGAGAGAGGCCACTGTGACGTTCGGCAACATCACGTCCCAGCTAATCCCCCTGGGCCCAAGGGGGACGCTGCAAGGCGCCGTGCTGTCCCCGATCCCGTTCAACCTGGCCATTTGGGACCTTCCTGTCAAGCGGAACGAGATACCGGTCATTCATACTTACGCGCCACTTCAGTCATTCCCAACTACCACAGAACGTTTCGACCACGTCCACATCGACATTGTGGGACCCCTCCCACCATGTGAGGGGTTCCGCTACCTCCTTACCTGCGTCGACAGGTTTACCCGTTGGCCGGAGGCACTTCCAATCCAAGACATCCGAGCGGACACCGTGGCTCGCACCTTCATCCAGGGCTGGATTTCCCGATTCGGCGTCCCATCCACTATCACAACCGACCGGGGACGTCAGTTTGAGTCTGCACTTTTCCACCAACTACTCTCACTTTTAGGAACAAGCCGCATTCGAACAACAGCTTACCACCCCATGGCAAACGGCCTCGTCGAACGCTTCCATCGTTCACTTAAAGCGGCCCTAATGGCGCAACCTGAACCAAACAGATGGCATACAAGCTTGCCCATCGTACTTCTCGGATTACGAGCAGCTTTGAAGAAGGACCTTGGCTACAGCCCAGCCGAGCTGGTATATGGTTCAACTCTTCGCCTACCAGGCGAATTTTTTGCATCCGCCTTACAAGAACCAGCTCCCGATCCCATGACATACACAAACCAGCTTCGAACGATAATGAAAAACCTCCGGCCCACGCTCCCACGCACACAAGATCGAACTGCAGTTTACGTCTCGAACGACCTCGACAACTGCAGTCACATATTTCTGCGAAGAGACGGAACCAAGAGGTCCCTGCAACCACCGTACTCTGGGCCTCACAAAGTACTTTCCAGGGCAGCTAAAACTTTTACCATCGACTACAATGGACGGCAAGAAACCGTTTCTGTTGACCGTCTGAAGCCAGCTCACCTAGAATTTCTTCCTAATGCAAACGACGCTGCCCATCCTCCTATCCTCACCGCTCGCCCAACCACTGACCCCTGCTGCCTCCCTTCAAGTCAATTACCCCGAAGTCATTCGATGCGAACTAATATACTGCCCTACAACTTCAACCGCCACGAGCCCTGCGCGCCATTTCAAGTCAACCGATATGGCTCCAGACACTTAGGAGCCAAAACGTCTGCGCCTGCCCTCGCTCGCGCCACGAGCGTGATACAGCGCAAACGAAAAGGACCTCGACAAGTTTCGTGGTGTTTAGCACCTACTCACATATGGGACTAGCACAAATAAATGTCTATCTTCTTCTGTTGCGGCGCAGCGAGGGGAGGGGAAGGTGAGTATTTGTGGGCATTGGCATACATTGACCGCCCACAGATGAAAAAGAAGAAAGGGAGAAGGAAGGAGCTCGGGAGACGAGAGATCAACGGGCTCTCAAGCCGCGCGCTCGACCGTTCCGGCAAGCAGTGAACATCACCAACCCGTTTATCCTTGTAAATAATGTACATAAATATGTAGTGCCAAGACTTTGGTTCCTACAACGCCATCTACGCCGACGACCTAACCATTTGGTGCATCTCGTGCATCTGGTGGCGTCTTGCACCATCTGGTGCAGGACGGGCTGCGACGCCGAAGGAACGACTGCAGAGGTCGGTGGACGCGGTCGCGGCGTACCCAAAGGACAGAGGACTCGAGTGCGCTTCGGTGAAATTGAAGCTCCTCGTGTTCCACAATCCCTTGAATAGACCCATTAGGAACATCAACGTCAAACTCGGCGACCAACCGGTACAGCCTAGTGTGGTCTATATCCCTTACAAAAATGAACAATGAGTTTCAATTGAGCTTCTAATGTGTTTTTATAGAGTCAAATGAAACTCATAAGAAACTCATCATTAAACGAGTTTTATCATTACCCACTCCATATCTATTCTTTTGAATTTACTCATTACATATTCAAGTGAGGCTTATCGTTACCCAATCAATATCAATTCTTTCGAGTTTACTCCTTACAAATTCAGGTGAGGTTTATCGTTACCCAATCAATAGCAATCCTTTTGAGTTTACTCATTACACATTGAAATGAGTGTTATAAAAAAAAAATCAATAAATCTACTCCCTACTGCATTGCACCCGAAACAAATAGCGCGTCGGTGCTAGTTCTGATATACAGATTTATTTCCTGTGCTTAAAATAATAACTGTATTCACTGTTTTTTACTCCTAAAGGCTTATTCATACGATGTATCTCTTCAACGCGCCACAGTTTAGCGAAACCAAGATTTCGCGAAATCGGCCTGTTCACACGTGGAGTTCGACGCGCGAAACCTGTGACGTATTGACTCACGAGAATTCCGCCAAACCTTGTCATCTGCACCGGGAATACCAAGCGTTTCGCATCAAAATGATATGAAGTACGCACAGTGTGAAGGGACAGCCTGTTTTATTAATGCCACTCAATGAATTTCGTCAGATTCGGCTCACTGGGTTTACTAGTCCTGCCAAACCCGGGAAAAACCGCGAGATGATCTCGAAGCATTTTAGACATTTTTACACCGCTAATAAAAAAACGTTATCCCCAGTCATCATGTTTATATACGGTGCTTGCACCCGCCGCGACTGTTGACGAATCTGCACCGCGCCCCCAATCCGTACTGTAGGCGCCGTTCACACACCTGCAACCGAGTAGGACCAAGACTCGTCGCCCGTACGCACCGCTTCTCCGCTTGTCGCATAGGGGGGCTTGTCGCTCGCCATGTTTGTTTGTTTTCTTTCGGCAAAGCTCGGATACGGAATCGGCCAAAAATCAGACTCCTCCAAAAGCTCGCTCCTCCTCGAAGGTCAGACGTCATAGCGAAGTCGAGCGGCCATTGGCAGCGTCCTCGTTTCTCCTTCGGGTGATTGACGGGCGTCGGTGAGGTTTCAGCGAAAAATTGCTCCAGAGGCGAGAAACACGCGCCACTTTTTTCGAAGGCGCGCCACTTTTTCGGTTGCGTTCAGACGGGGAATCTGTTTCCCGAAACCTAGTTTTGCGCCACAAGATTCGCCAACACGATGCATCATGTGAACAGACCTATTTACAGCGCCCCTCTACCGCGATTTGGTCAGTTTCGGTTTCAGTATTGTAACTTTTACTGGTTTGGGTTTCATATTTTAAGGATCGCGTCTTCGACGCCCCATCGGTAGCGACACCAGTTCTTTTTTTTTTTTTTTTTCCGCCATGGTTTTGCCCACAGTGGAATCATAACCAGTGGTCCCACTCAAGGCCACTTCCGGTAATCGCGCATACACAGCGCTCCTCAAGCCGGATGGCGACAACTGAAGTTGTCAAACAAAAACAAACAAAAAAACAGGGTCAAAAAGAATCGCAATTGACGAAATTGAGTGCGTTAATGGTAATATTTTTAGAAAACATAATAAGCTAGGTAATAATATGGTGGCTAAAGGACTTGGTGTCCGGAGCGAGCTCCCCCTCCCATTGACAAGGGCGGGCCGTTTGAGGAAGACGTGGATAGGTGGCGCCACGACACCCTGGGATGCCGAGACGGACCCGTGCCCCCGTGCCGAAGCGGGAGTGAAGCCGGTGAAGCAAGACAGAGAAACAAAAGGACGCTTGGTGAGCGTGAGCATGAGCTGTAATTTGGCCGAGGAGTGATTAAGGACAGTGACTGAAGGCATGAAACAAATGAAATCACCGAGGTGAGCGAAATGGCGGACGGGGGAGCGCCGAAGCGGCCGCCGAGGAACAGGCACTGCTGTGTGCCTGGGTGCAAGACGGGTTACCGCTCGGCTGAGCGAAAGTGCGCGTTATTTTCGGTGCCCAAAGAGAGTGAACGGTTTCTTCTGTGGTCCCGAAGTATTCCCCGTGGGGACACACCACTGCAGCCCTCGTGGGCCGTTTGTGAACTGCATTTCGACGAAAGGTTCGTGCAACGTTTTTATGAGCCTCACGTCATCAAGGGAGAGATCGTGCAGCTGAAAAGAGAGCGGCCAGCACTAACGCAAGACGCGTACCCGACTGTATTTCCGAACCTGCCGTCATACCTGACGAAGAAGCTTCCCCGTAAACGTAAGGAACGTTCAGAGTTCTCCGATGTTCGTGCCAATGTCGGACGCGAGAAGCGTGCTCGTTGTGATGCCTCGCTTGCGAGCAGCCCGGAGGATATCGAAGAGGACGAAGGTAGCGCGACACACGAAAACAAAGTGAAGTGGTGTTCATCTACTCTGCCTTCAAATGCGTGGTCCAGGACAGCATTGGAAGATTGTGTGGCTTTTGCGGTATCTTCGCTGAACTCGACGGGGTCAGAACTCCGCAGCGAAAAGCTTCTGGTGGTGAAGACACAAACGGCAGAGCTACAAAACCATAAAGCACAGTGTCTGGTCTATGTAAAGGGAAAGAAGCTGAAAGAAGTCGACCTAGCAAGCATTGAAGACCTCAACCAAGAATTGGAAGCTGCTGACTCCATCCAGACCTGCTGTGGTGCCGGACTGCTCCACGAGTTCCTTCCCCTGGAGGTTCAACCCTCGGCTACAGTGAGGATTTGGGACAATCAACTGATCGCCCAAAAATGTGCGATGACTGTCCACTCTGCAGGTAATAGATATGGGCTGGTGTTTACAATGCGCGAACAGTAGTTCCTAATTTATCCTTGGTATCTTTTCAGGATTGTCATGCCTACACTGCAGGTATGTCAGGAAACTGCTACTCACACGGAAAAGTAAAGCAAAAAAGCGGACAAAGCATTCTACCCAGGCTGCAAAAATACTACAGAAGCGACTGAAGCGTAGGAGCAACACAGTCCATTCATTGCAACGTAGGGTTGAGGGTCTACTGAAGAAGGCTGCGAGCATAGAGGATACGATTCTTGAGGAAAAGGTGAGTATCACTCTTCTTTATCCCTGTGCAGGCACCATGAACCTGGGTATTGAATCCTATCCCCACAAACACGCTCTAATCCCTGTTCCTGTGTTTCATAGTTGAACATCTGTGTGGCTGCACTTTTAGTGCACATTTTAAAGGACGTCTGCTCCTCTCCACTTCATGTGTTTGCTGCTGTATATCATCACCTTATTTGAAGTAGCGGACACAGTGGGCAATATTATTATTTAGTGCCTCTGTTAATTAAAAGCAAACATACCTAATACTTTCAGATCAAAGGTCTTCCCCGCAAGCAGCAGATGTGTGTGAGACACTGCCTTAAGGCCGCTCAACGAAAATCAACGAAGGGAATGATCTATGCTCAAGAGTGGATCTTGGAATGCATTATCATGAGGTAATAGATATGTTACATACTTGAACTGTCAATAAAGCTCTTAAATTACAGGTAGAAGGCTTATGGGTCTTCTCCAACCTTACGTGCCCTCACTGCCTTTGCATGTAAAAATGGTTGGAAACAGGAAGCAATATAAAATGTGTGGATCAGAGTTGGCACGTTTGCATTGTATAAATACTGTGTTACAAACTGCATTATAGTGGTTTAAGTTCATTGTGTCACGGACAGTACCAGAAAGCTTTATCGGATGGCATTTTATGGGGATGTACAAAGGCATGACGACCAATCTCGACCAGATCTGAGCTTCGTATGACAGCTTTTTTCGTGGTCCCGGCCACCACTATTTTTGTCCTATAATGAAGATACCTATTTTTCATACCTTGTTTTAATAGGCTTGCATACTTCATTCCAGGATGAAAAGTGCACGCCTGTACAGGCACCTACGTAGAAACAAGATCCTGCAACTCCCATCGCCATCAACTTTACAAAAATATGTCAAGGACTATAAAAGTGGATTTGGGTTTAACCCGAACACCTTCAAGGCCCTCAAAGAAAAGACGGCTGAAAAGGGCGAATTCCTGTGCCACGGAGGCCTTGTGGTAGATGAGATGAAGCTCTCTGAAAATATCTCCGTGCAGGCATGTGGAAGACTTGAGGGTTTTGTTGACCTTGGACAATTTTCTGCAAATGAGACAAGCACTACCCCAGCTGACCATGGCATGGTGATACTATTCCAGCCATTTGCCGAGAAGTGGACTCAAATTGTGGGTAAGGCACAATTGGGCAGGAGATCGAACTATAAGGGGCGCTCTGACCCGTTTGTTTTCCCCACGCTCGGTGTTTACTCAACACAAGGCCTGTGCACATGTCGACAGGCCTCATGGGAATATCCATGTCATCTTTTACAACAGAGCGCAGGGCACAGTTTAATGTAAAAAATACTAACAGTCGAGGAAGCGACGTTAAGTGCCGGATCTATCCTCAGAGAATGCGAGCTTGAACCATTCGGCTTTTGTGCTGAGCTGGGACCGTGCATGCTGCATTGTTCGTGCAGGCCGTAGTGGAAACAAGAGAGACCCTCCTCCCCCTCGCCGGAAAACACAACTCCAGCCGAACACTGACGTTGCGTTCGGTTATGTCGGCTGAGCGCTGAGTCATTGTATTTGTTGTCCCCATCCGTGTAGTTCTAAAGTTAACCGCTTGGGGCGTCACGGTCTGTCCTCCTCCCCAATAGCATAGACTAACAGTATTGGCAGTCATACTACTGAAAGAGGCACCGACCTCGTAGGAAACATATTTTTTTACGGCCAAAATAGACAGACATGTTAAAAAATACATTTCTGCTGAAAAAAAAAAAAAGTCATTTCATCAACAATGTTTGACCCCATAGCCAAATGGGCTTTGTTTCTGTTTCGCACACTGACATTTCGTAGGTGACTGGATAGTATAACAAAAATACTGAATTTATGTTACATAACTCTCACTTTTATTCCATGAAAGGTGTGTTTGCGTCACAAGGAAACGTCAAGGGCAACCTGTTAGCAAAAATGATTGTCAATGCCGTCATCTTGTGCGAGCAGGCTGGGCTTTGGATTGATTACATCTGCTGCGACGGTGCCTCATGGAACCGCAGCATGTGGAGATGCTTTGGTATCAAGGTTGGTTCCCATCTACAAATGCTGTTTTGCCCTTGTCATGTGCCTGACTGGGACTTGTTTGTCAGACGTCATCTGCTAGTATCTTATTATCCGCTTGCTTTTTTTCTTTGAAAATTTATGTAGTGCCTAAGGCTTTTTTTCTGTTTAAGATGTTTAATGTTTGCCACCATCAAGATCATGAGCAGTTTGTAGGTCCAATAAACAATAAAGTAAATGATTCACGAATGTTATATCTTTTTTCTTCATTTTTATCAATCTTTAGTATATTTAACTCTAGTAGCTATTCAAAATGCCCTCTAAGTACCAAACTAGATTAATATTCTCCAAATGTAAAATAATAGCTCAATTCTATCGTTTTCTATTTTTCAGGCAACATCCAGCCAAATAACATGCAGTGCTCTCCATCCTGTTGATCCCCAAAGACGCCTCTATTTTGTATCGGATTTTCCACATCTCCTCAAATGCCTGCGGAATATGTTTCTGAAAACGGGCTTCAACACTCCCTATGGCAGGGTACGTGTAGCACTGATGCTGTTGCATGTTGTCTCGACATTGATTTCTTTTTTTTCTCAGTCGCATGCAAGACAAATTTTTGTGGAATGATCAATTATAATATTGGCTGCTCTAACAGGTGTGCAAGGAACCCATTGCTGCTGCGTACAGAGCGGACTCGCATGTTTTGCCAGTCAGGGTGATGCCACGTGTCACTCATTCAACGCTGTACCCCAATGCTTTTGAAAAAATGCGGGTCAACCTTGCCTTCAGGCTGTTCAGCGATGAAGTGCTGCGCGGCCTTGATCTACATCACAAGACGGTCGAGCAGAACTGTGGCAGCTACAGTGCTACTGTAAAGTTTGTTTGCTTAATCAACAAACTGATACAAGTCATGACCTCTCGATGCCCAGACGATGCATTGAGGTGAGCAGAATGCCACTCATCCATAGCCTGATTATGTGCTGTATTCTGTTTAGTGTTTTAAGGAAGATATTGTACAGAGCGCGACAACTGTTAGCGCGAACAAGCGATCGCCGGTTTTTCCAGGTTTTCTCTTTGAAACCAAGGGATGTCATCCAAGTTATTATTGCTACGGAGGGAGCTCATTTAGTTCTATAATGTAAACGATCAAATTTCATGCTCGCTAACTCTATTTAGAAGTAAAATGCAAAAATGCGCCAATTTCGTGTTCGCGCTAACAGTGTTGCGATGTGTACAGCTAAAATAACATTGATGAAATGATATTTCAATAATGTTATTGTGCTAATTTTTTATTCTATTTGTATTTGAATTCTGTGCCTCTAAAAAGCTTGCTTTTGTTGCTTGCATGTTCCAGACTGCAGACACCAGAGGCCACATTCATTGACGACTTTCTGAGCTTCCTGGCCGACTGGGAGGAAAAAGCTAAAGACGGAGGCTTCATAAGCAAGGCAACTGCTGAGGGGCTGCGGGTTACGTTGGAGAGCACCAAGGGCATCCTGGCGTACCTTGGACGACACCTGGATTTTGATTTCCTCATGACCGCACGCCTTAGCCAGGATTGTATAGAGCGTCTTTTCGGTATTATTCGACAGTCGAATGGAGCAAACGACCATCCAACGCCAACACAGTTTCTTTTAACTGTAAACTGTCTTAGCTTCTATAATCTTGCTAGGTCTCCACCAGGAGGAACAATCAGTGAGGGTGTTCTCAGCTCCCTGCTTGGTCCGTCTGACAATGTCAGTCGGGGAAATGCACTGGATGACCTGCTCGATGAGGGACGCATAGATGAAGTTGAGCAAACCCTCAGCTCGGACCATACAGCCTGCTTTGCGAGGCAGAGTGACTCGCGGCTGCTGTACTATGTGGCAGGATATGCAGCACGCAGATGCGTTTTGCGCCTGAAATGTGGCGATTGTAAGGCTTTCTGTTTGACTGATGCAACAACAACAACCGAGAATGCAGAATTTACTAAAGCAGTTAGTCGTGGAGGGCTGCTGTTTGTGTCCGAAAGGATGTTTATGCTGATTGACCACCTGGAGAAGGCTTTCATGAATTGTTTCAACACCAGTAAGCTTCACTCTGAGAGCATTCGTGATGTGCTCAGCTGCGTGAACTCAGGCTCCCCTTCAGTGGGATGTGAAACCCACAAGCATGATTTAACACGGACAGTTATTAAGTTCTACATCGTGACGAGGCTTCACTTCTATGTGAAAGGAGTTAATCAGAAAAAAAAAGAGAAAAGTGCAAAGGCGAACCTGTCGAAGCAGGGACGGCTCCAGTAGGCTGCGGTTTGACTTATGCAAGCTTGCTTTTTACACCTGTGGGTGCAATACTGGATGATGCGCAATTATATCTCTTCGTAGATATAAGAGTGTGAACGTAGGGCAGTTGATTGGAATGTGCCTCCTTTGAACGAACACACTGCTGCAGGTGAGCAGAAGTGTGGAGTGTAGATATAGCTGCTCAATTTTTCTGTACAAGCTGTTATCTATTCGTATCATTATTGAACATTAGTCTAAGTATATTGTGTGAAATATTACTGCGATTTTTGGAACGCTTTTATTTGTAGAGAAACGTGTTGAAATAACTTCTGTATATTTTTTCATAAAGCAATAACCTCAGGTAGGTGAATAAAGTACCAATTCTGTTGCTTTCTGGCGTTGTGTTTTTCTTACCGTTTATTATGATTTATTTTATCAAATAACATGGCCGTTTTGGAAAACGAACGAACAATTTTTTTTCTTTCAATGTGCCGTAAACATCATAGTCTGGCATCTAGTATGGAACCACCACGATAGCTTCGAATGAATGTGCCGAGCCTCATTCGTTCGCTGGGGTGTTCCAGATTCACCCCTTATTAGTCTAGATCACAACCCCCCCCCCCCCCCCCCCCCCCCCATTTTTTAGTGGCAGTAAATCGGCCGACGACACCGCTACCATAAATGTCTAATGTTAACGAGTTATTTTACACGGGCTCGAAGCTGAAGTTCTGGAATAATTTGCGGGTTCTTTTCGCGACACTGTGGGATCTCAGTATAGATTCCAATATGTTTGCATTTTACCGGAATTGTTCGCGGGACCTATTTTTTGCGGAAATTAGGTCCTCGCGAAAATTAAGTCGTGTACAGTACTCCTGTGGGCGGATCTGGCTATTCCAAGCATGTAAAATATAAATATAATTGTAAGCAGTGAGAGAGTGCAGGCGATAAATTATAATTTCGATTTACACCCAGCAGCGCACAAAACAATACTGCTGGACTTTTGCTGGCAATGCATGCGCTTCGAACACCGATCAAGGCTGCACGCGCGAGAGAACGCCAGAAAAGGTTGCGCTTCGCGTATCGACCGAGCGGTAGTCACCCTTGCGTGGAACCGCTTGAAAGAGGCTAATTCTGTGACCGCTAGATTGGTGTGCCTAACAGTCGGGAATTCTGAATGAACATCAGCAAAACAATTCGAGATACAGCCCTAGATACGGTCCCACAGAAAACGAAAAGCGCAACGATACGCTGAGGCGTCCCCGGCGTCCCGCGTCCCTACGTTGCACAGCGCCACCTACCTCGTCTTCCTCAAACGGCCCGCGCCTCCAGCGGCGCTCCGGACACCAAGTCCTTCTAGCCACCATAGTAATAATGATAAACCAACATGGAAAGAACAAATCGAGCAGTTACCGTTAGCACCGTTAGCTTCAAAAAGTTCATTGCCCTAACCGAAGCCATGTCGCCGGTCGCGTTGTCGGCGTTGTCGGTGTTGCTGTTCTGCGAATTTCTCTTTCCTAGTACATTTCCCTTTCGGTTGGATCCTCGCTTGGCGTTTTAATGTCACGTGAGTTACCGAATCGCGCTATGAATGTGTTCTAAATGGGCCTGCTCAGGCAAGAAGCCAAAAAGCCAGGGACT